AGCCCCAAACTGTGCTCCCACCCCAGCACGGGAACTGCAGGAGGGGAAGGGGCCTGGCTGCCCCCAGCAGCGCTGACCTTGATGCCAGCTGCAGAGAGCTGGGCAGGGTCAGTGTCCGCCGGAACGTGACAGCGTGGGCAGGGATGGGGCTGCTGGGGTGGGGCTGCTTCCTCGTCGGGTCCAGGCTGGCTGCTGGGCTGTGCTGAGGCCCACCAGGACAGGCAGGTGAGCAGGGAGCTGCTGGGGCTGAGCACCATGGCATGGGAAGAACGTGGGTTTCCATATCCCAGCTCTGGGGAAGAGCGAGGTGCAGGGGCTTGGCTGCAGCCCAGTCAAGGAGAAGGCAGGTGGTGCTGCCAGGACAGGTCCAAGCCCTGCTTCTCCCTCTGCCACAGGCTGACAGCATGTCTGAGGTGGGAAACGGCACCCTGACCACCCATGTGCTGAACACGGCCATGGGGCTGCCGGCAGCCGGCCTTGCTGTCCGGCTGGCCCAGCTGCAGGAGCCGGGGCCGCAGTGGACGGAGCTGGCACAGAGGTAGGAGAGCTGATGGCACCGGAATGGGGCAGGGACACTGCTGCCAGTGCTCTGTGAGCTTGGCCAAAGGCTCCTGGCACAACTGGGGGTTGCTTGCAGGGCTGGTGCTTGGGGGTACGGCCAGGGCAGGTTCTGAGGGTACAGTGGGACAGGTTCTGGGGCTGGGGCTGTGTTTTGGGGTGCAGCAGGACTGGCTTGGTCTGGTTTCAGGTACACGGATGCGGACGGGCGCTGTCAGCCCCTCCTGGCACCGGGACAGGCCAGGTCTGGCACTTACAAGCTGCACTTTGAGACAGCCGAGTACTGGCGGGGTCTGGGGTACACCAGCTTCTACCCCTTCGTGGAGGTATGGAGTGTGGGGAGACTGGGAGCGGTGACACAGAAAGCCTGGGGGCTGGGGCCAGGCTCAAGGGGCTGCACCCCCCAGGGCCTCACTACAGGAGGGGGATTCCCACTGCTGTCTCCTCACTCTCCCTCAGGTTGTCTTCATCATCACCGACCCGGCACAGAAGCTCCATGTCCCGCTCCTGATCAGCCCCTACTCCTACACAACCTACCGGGGCAGTTAGAGGGGCTCTGCCTTCCCCTGGGGACACAGGAATGGTGCCACTGATGCCATTAAAAACTCCACACAGCACTGTTTTGTCTCAAAAAATCGCCTTCCTCTTCTGGAGGGACAGAAGGAGCCCCGGGGCAGCCTAGTGGGGTGGGTGGGATGCCTGGAGCCCTCCAGCTGTGGTCCCCCTTGGGAGGAGAGGTTCCTAAAACTGCTCACTGGGGTCTGTTTAAAGGCATGGAGCAGGAAATGGGCACAGCCCCACTACCAGAGTGCCAGTAGGACCCTCAGTGCTGCTGGCATCAGGTGGGCACTGCAACGAGTCCAGCAGGGCCCTGCCCCAGTTCCTGCCCTGGGAAGGGGAAGGACAGTGGCTGGAAACCCAAGTTGTCCAGGGGGATGCCAAAGGCTGTCAGCTTTGCCTCGAAGGTCTGCAGCATGTCGTTGTGTGCCTGAGAGGAAAGGGTCCCTGTCAGCCCCTCTGTCAGCAGAGGAGAGCTCCCTGCACCCCCCGCCTCATTTCCAACCCCCGAGCCATGGAATCACAGAATCCTTTGGGTTGGAAATGCCTCTAAGATGACCGAGTCCAACTGTTCCCCCAGCAGTGCCAAGGCCAGCACTAACCCACATCCCCAAGTACCACATCCACACAGCTCTTAAACCTCTCCAGGATCCCTCCCCACCCTTACCTTGCAGACTCGGGCCAGCTGAAGCTGCAGGTCCTGGATGGTGGCATTCTTGGAATTGAGCACGTCCTGCAAGGGGAGATTGGGATGAGGCTGCGCTGCCCAGCCCTGGGGACACGATGGCCGGGTGTGGTGTGGCAGAGGACAGGCGAGCAGAGCAGCACGGCCTGGCAGATGGCCACCACCCTGCCCCTTCTGAGTGGCACTGCCAGGGACAGCCAGCCCCGGGCAGGGACAGGGAGCTCCCGGAGGAACAGCACAGCCATCCCGGTCTGCCCTGCTGCGTGGGGAGTGCTGGCAGCACCTGCTCCAGCAGCACCACCCTGCTGCCGCGGCACCACGGGAATTACGGGGAGCCAGGCTCCCCGAGGCAGCTGAGAGGAGGAATTCAGGGACCCCAGCAGCTGCAGGAGAGCCCGACGCCAGTGATGCCGTCCCAGGAATGTGTTTTCCTTCCACCTGCTGGGAGGTGACACATCCACTGCCTGTCCCACAGGCCTGGTACGAATCCCAGAGCATCCCAGAGCTTCCCCGACTCCCCCTGCAGCAGGGACCCGGGTGGGGACATGCAGGAGGGCACCAGGTGGTGGAGCCCTCGTTCCCTGTGTCTGTGCCCAACCCGCAGCAAGCACTGCTCCCTGGCTCCAGCTGCGGCAGGCTGCAGGAATGTGGGTCTCCAGGCTCTCTGCAGAGGTATTTTTAGCACGGCAGACACCGCAGAGCCCCAGGATCCTGTCTGCACTGTCCCCATGGCCAGGCGAGGCTCACCAGGTGTGAACTCCCCCCCCCTGCACAGAGCCCCTGGGTGCCACTGGACCTGCTGGCAGCTGGCTGTGTGGCAGCACAGGGTGCTGGCAGTGCCATGGAGCCTGTGGCCATGCTCCTCCAAACAGGCCCCACCTGAGGGACAGATCAGTGCCAAACTGCCACCCACACACTCCACTCTCCAGGCAGAGCCGGGTGCCCCGTGGCACCACACGTGGCCCTGGGAGCACTGGGAACAAGTGCTGTGCCACCTACAGCCATGGAGGATGGGGACTGGTGTGTTCCAGGGCAGCAGGCACCCCACAGTGTGCTCTGCCCCCCAAATCCAGCCCTCGCCGGGCCCCAGTACCTCCAGCTTGTGTGAGACCAAGGAGAGAGCGCTGGGGTCGAGGTTGGAGACTGCAACGACCTCGCTGAGCTCCACCTCCTTCTGCTCCAGGAGGCTGAGGAGTCCCTGCAACTTCCTCTCCAAGAGCAGGTTCTTGAACCCCGTTCTTTGTTGCACCTCGTTAATGGCTTTGGTGAACTTCTGATAGAGCTCGTCTCGCTCCTCCTGGACCTGCCCCAGGAGACAGCACAGTGTCACAGCACCCTCGGGACACAGGGGACACAGGGGCCTGCACAAGGCTGGCTGGGCTCTGTGTAATGGTGTGGAGCACAAACAGGGCAGAAAACTGGTCCAGCAGCTCAGCCTGGCCATTCCCCACGGCACCTGCAGCCCACAGGGAAGGCAGGTGCTGCAGCACAGCTTCCCCCCCTCCATTCTTCCCTCGCTCTCTCCCTCCCTCCATGGCGCAGCACCTGCGCTTCTCCCTCCTCCCCCTCCTCCCCTCCAGGCATGGAATGCCCCAACGGGCTCCCTGCAGCACTAATTCAGACCCCAGAGAGGGCCCCCGGCACATGGGGGTCTGTCATCCCCACAGCTGGCAGCAGTCCCTGGCTCACAGCTAGTTAATAACTGTCCTAATTAGGACAGTCTCTCCTCCAAAGCCTATTTCTGAACGCTCCGAATCTGGCGCTGTCTTAATGATGGATTGTTAATGAGGCCTCGGATCAATGTTCATAATCCTGGGGATTTCTACGAATTGCAAATGAGCTCTCTCCTGCCTCAAAAGATTTATCTGGGTTAGTGGGGGGGAGCACTCGCTCTGCAGGGCTCTTCCTGAGCACCCCAGAACAACGAGAGGGAGCGAGCCTGGAACGCCTGGCAGAGGAGGGGCCCGTGGCAATGCCCCTATCCCGGCTCTGCCCCGTGCAGCCCGGGGGCCTCGCTGGAGCGTGCATGACTGCTTAGCAAAGGACAAGGCCAGGCCTGTCTGCTGACCGTGGGAGAGGCTGGAGCTGGGAGCAGCTTTGCTGGGAGCAGCGGTTATCACCCGACTCTGGATTAGCTTTGGAAAGCCCTGGGCTAAGCACGGGCTCTGCTAAGCCCCACGCCCTATCCTCTGCAGAGGGTTTGGAGAAGGTTTGGAGAGAGTGCCAAGCCCTGCCTGCAGGTCCCACCTTACTGAACCGCTGCTCCAGCACCTCGTGTTCCCACTGAAGGTCCTTCAGTTCCTTCTGCGTGATTTTCAGATGGGCTTTGGAGTTCTGTGAACAGGAAGGGAGCGTTAAAGAGGACAGGATTGTCTGGGAAGTGTTGGAGATGTGTTCTGGGAAGGGAGGAGAGTGAGCAGCAGGGAGAAAGCCAGGCAGCACCCACACCAACCCCCCTTCAGTGGGGTTGGTCTCCCTTCCAGTCTCTCTTTGGATCCCCATGTGAGATCCCACAAAAGCACAGTAAGCAGAACAGGCAGGACTTGCTTTGCCCAGCAATCACAGCACATCAAGTGGCAGAGGTCAGTGTTTTTTCCTCCAGGAATGAGCCCATGAAAGGACAGGGCTGGCCACTCACCATCAGGGCCTCCTTGTCCCTGTAATAGTGAACCAACTTCTTTTGCAGCTCAGCCACCAGCTCCTGGGCCTCCTGCAGCGGCTCTGTCAGCCCCTTGTTCTGGCGCAGCACATCTGCCTTCTCTTTTTCCAAGACAGCCTCCTTCTTCTTCAGGTCTTCCACCTGCTCCTGTTCTTGGGAACACAAGTCCTGGCTCCTGGGAGCTGCCCAGCTCCTCAGAGTCCCCCACACCCTTGGGACACCCTCCCCACTCATATGCCGGTGCACAGGCCAGTGGCAGCACCCACATTGACACCAGAGAACTGCCAGATCCAGATGACACCCTGGCAGGAACAGTGACACAGGGATGGGCAATACCTTCAGGAGGCTGATGAGTGTCAGGTTTTTGGCAGTGATATCGTTGTAGTAGTTCTTGATGGCACCAAAAGCCCCCTCATGGTTCCCCATCAGCTCGCTGATCTGGGTGTTCTTCCTCTCCTCCAGCTCGTGGATCTCTGTCTTCCTCCGCAGGTCCATCTCATCCCGCAGTGCCTGCATCTTCCTGGTGTACTTGGCCTCCATCTCTGGGGGGAAAATTGTCACAGCTGGGGAAAAACTGGCTGAAACTGGGGAGGAAAGGTGATCAGAATGGGGAAGGGAGAAAAAACCACCCATAACTGAGGGAATACTCGCCAAAACTGTGTGGGTTGGGAACAGCTGAAATTGGAGGGAAAACCAGCCAGAACTGGAGGGCAAACTAGACAGATCCAGGGACGAAAACCAGCTGGGACTTGTGGGAAAAACTGGCCAGAACCTCGGGTGGGGGAGATCAGCCAGAAGTGGGGTGGGAAGGTGACCAGAACCAGGAAGAAAAAATGGCCACAACTGAGAAAGGAAAAATGGCCAGAACTGAGGAGAACCTGCCCCCATATGCTCAAGGTGCTGCTTGGGAACCAGAAACAGCTCTCCCTGTCATGCTCCTGTGGGACCTGCCTCATGCCCTGACCTTTGGTCTGCATCTCAAAGTCGCTGCGTAGCCGGGCCATCTCCTCCTCGTGTTTCTGTAGGAAGAAACTCAGTGTGGGAAGAAACAACCAAATCCCAAGTCAGCCCAGCCCCAGGGATTCCCTCCTGCTCTTTGGGAAAGGATTCTTATGCCATGCTGATGCAAACGGTGGCTTGTAGGTTCACCAGCTGCGCTCACAGCTCCCCACTGTGGGAGAGGGGTCACCCAGGAATCTCTTCTCCTCATTCCTGCACCAGAAATCCCATCCCACCCCACAGAGAGAGACAAGGAGGCAAGATCCCACTCCTGCTCCCACCCTGGGGATAAGGCACCTCACAGGTGGCTCCAGCCCAGCCAGGGACGTACCAGGCAGAGGTTTGTAATGGCTGCCTCGTTGGCCAACTCCTGCTCCTTCAGCCTTATGTTCAAGGCGCGCTTCTCTTTCCACAGCTCCTGCTCCTGGTCCCAGTGATCCTTCTGGGCCCGCTTCAGGGACAGGACTTCCCCTGCCTTCAGCTCCGTCAGGTTCTCCTGCTGCTCATGCAGCAGGTGCTTCACCTTCTGCTTGTACACCTGAGGAGAAACAGAGACCGGGTGAGGGGCTCAGCAGGATCACCCGGAACTGGGATGCTGGTGAAACATTCCTGGATTTCATCCTGCCCAGCTCCTACCCCTCGCCTCCTCAGAGCTGCCCAAGGCTCACCTGGAGCCCTTCAGCCCCACCTTGATCTCCAGTTGGTGCCGCTCCTCC